GCGGTGCCATTGGAGGGGGGGGGGGGTTGAAAAAAAAAAAAAAAAAAAAAAAAAAACTCTAAGGGAGCTTGTTCATGTTTTAACCCCATTTTGCACAGAGGCTTTTCTTAATGTATTGTTGATAGCAAAGTTGAATATTGTAACAAATAATAATAAAAAAATAAAAATGCTTGAAATAACACTGACAGCAAAGAATACTCTTCTACAGTATAGAACTAAACAAAAAACAAAACAAAAAAAAAAAACAGTTACACAAAAGTGTTTCACTGTAAAGATGGTTTGTAGTTTGTTTTGTTGCAACCTGAAGTGTGAAATAAACCAGAAGAAAATCTTTGGGAACCAATGCTTTAAGCTAATCTTAGGCACCGTTACGCACCGATGCACGTATTTATGAGGCGGAGTTGAAGAGGAGCTGAGCTCATGAGGAGAAACTTCCGGAAAGATATCCGCAAGGTGCTAAGTTATATATTATATATTAGAAACTCATCTGCAGGACACAGGCTTGTATTTTAGGTTTAGAGTGGTATTATGCTGACGTAATAGCCACCAAAACGGTTTTCGTACGAAAGTCTCAAGTCTTGACGATTTATTCCAGATGAGACGAGCAAAGCGACAGTAACTATGGGTGAAGCGCTCAGCTCTAAATTACCGGTCAGACAGAATTCACCTTCTCCTAAATCGGGTTGGGATTCAACTGAGCATGTAAGTAAAACAAACATTATAATGCACACAATGTTAAAGTGTAAATGTTCTTAGGACAAATGCAATTAGCAATGACCACTTCAGTGGCATAAGCTTGATAAGGCAACGTGAAATAAAGACGTTGCTTTCAAATTATGAAAACATTCATAATTTGAATGTTTTCAGCGGCAATTGACAAAGAAGTAAAGCTTTGATCGCGGTATTAAATGTTACCATAACATTTGTTCATTGGTTTATTGCAAAAATATTTTTGACGTGCTTAAAAAAATAAAAAGTTAGATTTGTAAAAAAACTTGATATTTCTACATTATTTTTGTTAACCTCTGAGATCTTATTTCCTATCAAAACAAGTTTCTTGGTTAAAAGAAAAATAATTTAATGCTTAGAAATGTTCCAGTGATGGCTGAAAGAAAACAATCACATATCTCAGAAGAGCTAACTTAGCTATAGGCTGCACTTCACTTAGTCATCCATCCTCTGTCTAGGCAGATACATTCAGATCTCCAGTTAGCATCCATCCATCCATTTTCTATAACACCCTTGTCCCTTAGTAGGGTGGGGAGGTGCTGGTGCCGATCTCGTTCCGGGCGAGAGGCGGGTTACGCCCTGGGTAGGTCGCCAGTCTGTCTCAGCAGTTAGCATAATCATCAAAGTGAAAAAAGAAAGAAAAAAAAAAAAGCATCCTCCATGAAAAGCCAGGTTGTGGTGTATCTTTATCCATTCAGATTATTGATTTGATAATAATCACTGATTATTTATTTACTGTTGACAGACATAGTGAATGCAAATTAAAGTATGAGTCAGTATAGAAACAAGCTATGTTTATACTTAGCCTGTATAATTGCATACATAATCATGTGAAAAGAAATGTCATAGCTTGAACTAAAATGTTCCAGTATATATGCAATTAACATAGATCCTCCACAAAAATATAGATTTTTTTTTTGCATTTTGCCTAGATGGACATATTAAGTTTCTGCATTTACTTACTACTACTTTTAAAAATGGCACACCACAGGAAAAAAAAAACACTCAGATGTTTTGCTAAACTAAATATTGCATTTCATAACTAGAATCCAGATCTCTAAAAAACCTTACCTTACAACATAGTTTGGCAAACCTTCAGAAATGGAGGGGGACCGTGTTGGCGGCACACAGGTGTGTAAGCGTGTGTGTGCGTGTGGTGAACTCTTGAGTTTTAAAATTTGTTTTGCTACAAACTTTTGTTGTCTGTTTGTTGTTTTAATGAAGTTGAATTGAGCAAATCTAAAATACGCAATTTTCCCCTAATATTTAAAAACTTGAGCTAATAATTCTGTTTTCTGTCATGCTAGGCTTTTCATGTTCCCTTGGACATCCTTGAGGAAATCTTCCTAAATCTGCCTGCCCACCTGGTGGTTTGTGTGTGTCGATTAGTTTGCCATCATTGGAAAGATGTCGCAGATAATGAGTCTCTCTGGAGACAAAGGTGCAGAAGAGAAGGGTATAATCTGCACGAATCTTCTAAAGTACCCAGCGACTGGAGGTTCTTTTACTTCATGTGCAAGAAGAGGAGAAATCTCATAAAAAATCCAAGAGGGGAAGGTGAACAGATGTTAACTTACGGGGAGGTGGAGCAAATGCCATGTTTTCTGCTTCATAAAAAAATGCACTTTGATAAACAATTATTAATTCCTATTGATTATGCAGATGAATTACAGGGTTGGACGATAGTAAGGAATGGCGGTGATGGATGGAGAGTAGAGAAACCGATGGCACTTCACCCAAATACAGAAGTACAAACAAACTTTGTAACTTCCTTCAGGTAATTAACTCAAAAATTTTGTAAATGTGGTAATAATTTCTCATGGTTTTTATGAAAGTTGTAATATACAGGAGAGCATGTAAATCCTCACCGTTGTTTGCAGAACGTGCACAAAGTCACAGCTCATTGATTTGGTGAAGGAGGGCTACAGCCAGGCTTTTATGGACGAGATCCAGCCCCACATCAAGGTGTCCGACTGGTGAGAGAAACACCTCAGCTCAGAGAGTAATTACAAAGATTTAGGTAGAATTCAATTTAAAATATGTTTTGTGACTGATCCACACCTAGATGCATCCAAGCTCATTACACCCAAATGGCAATGTCTTATAATCTAGATTTATGCAAAAAAATGTCCATACCCTTGCTGGATCCGAACCGAAAATGGTGTTTCTGTGTCATTAGGTACGCACCTCGATGCAACTGTAAGTACAACATGTCCGTCAAGCTTCTGCACAGCAACAATAGGGTTATTCAGGAATTTACTCCCGAGACTATTCACCTACTCGAACAAGAAAATCACAGGTGGAAACAGGTATGCACAAAGTGGAGATACGAAACCTGAGAAATCCTTTGCATAACATCCTTCATTTGTCCCCCAGATGATCCACGTGTTTAAGGACTACGGACCCGGAGTCAGATACGTCTACTTTGAGCACGGCGGTAGAGATTCTGTGTTCTGGGCGGGATGGTATGGGATTCGCTTAACAGAAACATCCATTGAATTATGTCCAGCACTGGACAAACAGAATTATGAATCCTATAGTGGTTAAGAAAACGGGTTTTAACTACCACTCTATTAAAACATTACTCTTTTGGCCTTTAACCTGAGAAACATGCTGTAAAACAGACATCTAATCTTGATCATCTTAAACTGTAACAAGCCTATATTAAAACCCAATATTTACAAGATTGTTGATTTTTGTACTTTTAAATCTGGTATATTTGGAATGTTCTCAGTCTGAAACTTTCTAGTAACTACTGCTTTAACAATTATGTAACCCAGTGTAGTCATGTTTTTAAATGCTCGTTCACACTGCTCTCAATGTGCTATTAAATTTTTGTACAGTTGTATTGTTGCCGCCACTTTTTTTTGTCCACGTGTGTAAAAATGTAAATAATTTCCCCTTTGTAATTATCAAGACACAGAAGAACATGTTATTTGAAGATTTAATCATAATACTGGTTTATTGTGCTTTTTTTTTATCACAAGCAAGACACAGTACAACTTTGTCAAGTTGAATACAATGAAAAAACATCTTTCAGGTTAAATTGACTTCAGCGCCATCTCAGCTTCTCAAAACCTCATGAGTAATGCACAATTTCATTCAGTAAATAAGTTATTCTTACTATATTTACAAGTCACTTCAACAATTCACCTTAAAAATTCGGCATGGAAAAGACATGTCATTGGTTCAGTCCTTTAACATCAAGCTGTTACTGATGAGATGCAGGCAATGTTGAGGTTACCAAATAACTGAACTCGTTGTAAAACTTTGGCCTGTAAACTAAGATACCCAAGTCACCACAATGAAGATTTAAGCTTGACCTAAATGCTGTGAAAAGTTATCTGGCAAAAAAAATATGTTCAAATCAATATTTCTACAATTGGAAGTGAAATATATTTCCTGCCTAATTTCTCAGGCCATGTCTTGGAAAAACCAGGGCAAAGATGGAGAATTAAGTAAAGAAAAAAAAATCATCCACTGCATGCCTTAGAACTTCCTGAAGGCCATGTTGGAATGATTAAAAGACATTTTAAATCTTAAAACACAAAATAAGGAATATTATTGCTAATGCAAAAGCTGGTGATAGAAGAATGTTGCAGTTTGAAACACGTTTAAAGTCATATTTTTAAACAAAATACAAAACGATGCGAGCATTCCAATTTTGTGACACATGAAACAAGAACTTTTTTGTGGAGAAAACAAGTTAATTTAATCTGTTCTCCTGACATTTCTCCATAAAAAGCAACACTGAGGTCAAACTGAGGAGTTATTTCAAAGTGTCGTCTCCAGCTGGATGTTGGTTTAACCAGTCAAGAGCTCATATCGTTTCTGACCAGTGGTATCAAATGACCCAGCACAGAATAACCGAAGTTTAAAAATCATTTAACACATTAAATGTTTTTATGTTACGTCTGTGGGAAGGCTAAAATCTCATGACATCTCAAATAACGGTGGAATGTCCTTGTGCAGAAAGCCGTATCAGTACTGTTAACCTGGTTTTGGAAAACGGTCTGAAGAAAGCAGCGAAAGACCTTAGAGCAGAACACATTTAGGCCTTTTCTTAGGTTCGGGAGGCTCCAGGGCGGCTAGTATTGCCTCATCAAACACATTCTTTAATCCTTTCTGTGGAAACAAAATGTTGTTATTCAAAACAAAGCTACCTCCAAGTGCAAATTGATCTCAACTGAACTGTATGAGCAGAAGAAAGCCAAGTAGAAATTGAGTGAGGCAATCAAAATCTTCCTTTATTCAAACATTAAACAAGATTCTCCTCATGATCAAGCCGTCTAATGACAAAGGTCAGTGGAAAATTTTGATGCAACAGTCGAGAAAAACTCTCAGTCCAAGACAGAGGACAGCTTAGATGGATTTGTGGAATATAACATAAGTTCAATACTGAGAGAACATAATGTGCTTTAAAAAGAAAATCTTAGTCATGTCCAGTTATAGATAGATGAAAAGGAGACTGAAAGGTTGGCACTCGTATCATCTTAGGCAGCGTGAATAACTATGATTAGGCCAAGTTGAGAAGAGAGCACACAGGAACAGAAGAAAAAAAGGTTGATGGGCACAGAGTTTTTAACTTCGAAAGAGTTTGTGGTTATTTCAGTGAGAGACGTTTCTTTACAATGAAAAAGCAGCAGACAATCAAGAGGCAAAGCAAGATGCAAGAAGACATCAGAACAAGCAGCATTTTCTCTTTCTCTGAGTTTCAGGGGGCTCTAAAGCGGCTAGGATAGCCTCATCAAATACGTTCTTCAGTCCCCGCTACAGGAAAAGACAAAGAAAGGAGAAACACACGGACACATACAGTGTTAGATGGCGTTTAGAGCCGAAAGCTGTTAGCAAAAGACAAGACAAAGTATTTCTAGCATTGCTGTTGAAAGGATGGCAAACATGCAAGGTTCAGAGTAGAAACAGGTCTTACCTGAGTCAGGGCTGAGCACTCCACGTATTTGACTGCCTTAAGGTCTCGAGCCAGCTTTTCTGCCGTCTCAGGGGTGATTGGCTTCTGTTTGTTCTTGGCCAACTTCTCCACTGTGGAGGGGTCATCGCGGAGGTCAATCTGAGTGCCTACCAACAGGAACGGGGTCTTGGGACAATGGTGGGTGATTTCAGGAACCCACTGGAGAAGGAAAAGGACAAATAAAAATGTTACTCTGGCTAAACAACAGTGTCAGAAGCACACAGATGTTTCCATAAATAATGCACTTGTCGCTCAATTTGCAAAAGATGTCACGAATAAGTGCTCCAAAAGCTCAATAATTGAAATGTTGATTTCAGTTATTAAATAAAAGAAATACTGTTTTTTTCTTATGAACAGATATAAAAACATTGAGAACATTCTGTGTCAAGTACAAATGACATGCATTACTTAAGACTTTAGCTACACAGTCTGATACTGTTGATCTCAAAACCTGTATTTTAATTTAAGATTGTAAACATTTTCTAATCCTTCACAATCTAACATATTACCCATCCCTAGTGATGAAGCCTTTTTTGTTATTTTAGAATTGTTCTCTCAATATTTCCCTTTTCACAAGAAGGAAACTAGTAAACTATTTAGCTGCTTAATAGTTTTTCTTTTCTTCTCCTTTAACCCAGACTCTACTGTTTCCTGTGGGTAAAAGTGATATCTGTTTAATAATATGTTTGCACAATGTACAGTCACAGGGGAAATTATTGGTTTATTTAAAATAGGTAAGATAATTATAGTAGAAAGTGCATACACAATTGTGTTTGGGAGCTTCTTTTTATTTTTCCCACTGAATGTCTAGTATTTATTATACTGCCATGACAGAGTGACAGTTTTTAAGAAACGTAAAAAAAAACAAAAAAACAAACACGTTTATAAAAGTTACTGCAGCTTTAAATACCAAACATGTTACTTGATGAAGAAAAAGGAAATGCAAGTCATTGTGAAATAGAAATTCAGAGGCAATTTAGCAATATCTTCAACAATGTTTAACATTTGTTTTGCATCCGTCGTCCAGCTTGGACTTGGTTTGGGGATCGTACAATTGCTCCTTGAAATCTGGGAGCTGACAGTGCAAGTAAAAGCTATCAACTGAAAGCCTTGAAGCATGTCTGGGATGACTATGGGAGACAGATGAGTGCAGCGTCGCTCATGGTACAGACAGAACGCAAGCAGCCAGACTTCCTCAAAGCAAGCGCTTGCAGGTTTGGCACATCGCAGAAGCCATATTAGGTTATCAGTTCCAGGCGAAACTGCACAATTGTCTTCTGCAACAAACTGGGCTTTAATGAGTTTAATTAAGCACAAACTGGTCTGCATAATATGAGAGGGTTTGAATTTAGCCTGAGACATTGTAGGTCAAGTTTATTTATCTGATCTGCTCATGTTTTCTGAAGGCATTTAATATGTTTTTATTACAGTTTTGTAGATGACAGCACATGATTACAGAACTATCTGGGAAGGATTTAAGAAAGTAACTTCTTAAAGTCACTAGAATCACCTGGTGCTATGGACTAGAACAAATGGCAATTTAAGTTAGATATATTTAAAAATGAATGTAAAAACTCTTGAAAAACAGTTTGCATTAAGTCTATCTAAACCAGGAAATTAATTTAGAAATAATGAAAGGAGAGTTCAAATAGTTTTACAAAGATTTTTAGGTGTGAGCTTAAATTAGCTTTTTTTTTTGCTTACCTTTTCTTTAACATTCTCAAATGAGGAAGGTGAAACAACTGAGAAACAGACTAGGAAGACGTCGGTCTGAGGGTAGCTTAGTGGTCGTAACCTGTCGTAATCCTCCTGACCTACACACAGACAAGACAGAAATTGACATACCATACCTCAGAGCAAAGACACTAAATTAAAAAATTTCTAGAATTACGAAACTTTAAAAGCCATAGACCACAGGCAGTGCAGCAAACCTATGCTCTGTTTTTACAGCATACAACAGAAAGCCTGTCTGGACATATACCAACGTTTTTTGCAATGTTAAAACCAAAGTAAAATAGGACACAAGAAGAGTTTCTGTGTCTATAGCTGTACAAACACACAACTGTGGAATTATCCCTATTCTTGCAATTGACTACAACTAATTATAATTTATGTTTATTAATGTCTCTAAACAATGTATCTGCACAGATCCTGTATAATTCAGTTCAGTTTATTTGTATAGCAGTAATTCTGATCATTTTACATGACAAAAATAGTCATAGTCATCTTTATCCATTAAACATATACATTCTGATGAAATTCATTGCAAATAATTAACGTCTAACCCTACATAGGAACATTTAAATTTACAAACCTGTAAGCTAATGCAAGATACAACCACAATCAAGTATAATCTACATTTTCATATTACATGCATGTCTTTAAATAATTCAATACAACCACATGCCAATTCCACACAGGGTTATCACAACTTGTAGTTAATTTGTGAGAAAGTGCAAATGGCGTTAAATTTAGCACAATGAAGAAAAAAAACATTTTAATTAGCCTGTTAAGGGAAAAAAATAAAAATATATATATATATACCTGCTGTATCAAATAAGCCAAGGGTGTATGGTTCACCCCCGATCATTACAGTTACTGCATAGTTATCAAACACCTGCAATCAAAGAGTGAAATGGTCACAGACAGGTCATGCTTTTAAATTAATCTTTCAAACAGGCTGACCAATAAAACTTACTGTTGGTACATATTCAGAAGGGAACTTGTTGGTTGTGTATGAAATCAGTAAGCAGGTTTTTCCCACTGCTCCATCTCCAACCACAACACACTTGATAGTCTGCATCTCTGTGCTTTCGGTTGCTGCTGTCAATTACGTTAGCTGCAGGAAGAGGGGGAGGAGAAAGCTTACATTGATTACGACATACATCTTCGAATAAAGACAAACTCTGGACATAACTATGTGGTGCGTCCTGCCTTTTAAAATCCCGGTACAACTTGATAAACCGATGTGATGCCAAGAAAAGGCAGCACTGACTTGTTCAGTCACACCCCATTATTATCAAAGCTGTCTTGAAGCTAACACTAGCTAAAGAACAATTACTTGTCCGCAAAATTACTTAGCTGTGTAGACTACTTAGGAGTAGTTCTACAGCATAAATATATGCTATTTAGTTGATTAGTTGAGCTATTAGCAAATGGAACATAAAACATTCGTTTGTATCGTTTGGCAAACTGCTACTGCAGTGCTGGCTAATGCCACATAGTGCTAACCAGTACGTTAGCTTAGCCACCAGTCGGTAACGATAGTTTAGGTCTCCGTGTATACTTTGCTGCTGCTAGCAAACTACAATATCCAAAACAATGACTGTAATAAACGCCCACTCGTCAAATAACTTTAGATATATGTGTGGGCTTTGTATAAAGCTACGTACCTCCGTTTTTGTACTCGATAAGTTGGCTGTTTTCGCCGGGCGTTGGCACCAGCGACCTGAAACTTGGTTCAGTCAGATAGCCGAGCCCCTCACGTCCACTACACCAGTCAAGTTAGACTGAATAATCCCGGAAACGTTTTTCAAAATAAACCTCCTGTCAGCACACTATAAACTTACATGTTTCACAAAGTAGCAGCGAAAGCGACACTTAAATTGCGACATTAAATATAATTATATTTATATTATTATATTATATATTATTATGTTATAAATAGATAATATTTTGTCCGTGGATGTGCCTTTTATTTCACAAACTGGAAACCATTCCCCAGATGCTCTTATTTTAAAAAGCGCCGTCCTTTCGTTATGTTGGCTGGCTTTGTTTAATGTCTTGCGAGTGGTTCCAAGTGGTTCCTGCAGCAGGGATGGTGATGTCACCTCAGCACCCCCACTGACCTTGCATCCTTCCCATAACTTTATTTATAGTATACAGATCCAAGTCATAACAAACCTCATGCCATAGCACTTGGGAAATCTCCAGTTGATGTCAAATATTCAGATTGATTCTAATTAGTCAAATCATTAGACCTCTGACCACTTCTCTGACCAGAGACCTCTTAGCTACATTATCCTCCTTCTCTGCAATTTGCATTATTTGGTTATTTCAACTCTTAACTCTATGTTTTCTCCTCATTTCTTTTCTTCTCAGAAGCTACATTAGGCCTGGTGTTCTGCATAGCAGTAACATCTTCCTGGTTGGGAGCATTAGGTAACAATGTTCTCCTCTTGCTATTAACTTTTACTGTTCTTTAACATAGGAAGTACTTCTCTTTCTTTTTTTGTGTGTATGTTCTGTATTCTCAAGCCCATTATCAGCCATGACAGATGTATTTTTCTTTCCTCTATTGCTACATTGTGGCAAAGTGTATGTAACAACATATGCATGTAGCAACATTTATGTTGCTACATGCTCAACCAGAAGGCATGAATGCTGAAAGTCAATGACTCAATAGGCTCCTTTGACAGAAAACATTTCAAACCACACAAAATCAAGCTGTTGTGTCAGCATCAGTAAATGTTATGACAGCAAATGATTTTTGACAGATTTTAAGGCATTTGAGTTACACTGATTTGTTTTTTTTAAATGTACAGAAAAAGAGTGATACAAAAGGAAATGCCCAATAAAATTGGGATCGCTTGCCTCAAGAGATGTTAATAGAGGTTTCTACATTTAGTAGTTGGCTTTTGAGCGATACATGCTGTCTTGAAGAAATGACAATTTACAACAAAGTGACAAGAAACACCTGAAAAAAGAAAAGAAAAACTGACAATGACAAATTTTCTAGGTGATAAACAATATTCTAGTGAGTATGATTGAATTTACCCTAAATGTCTTGCTGGTATCTTTAAAAATTCCTGCTGGTTGTTAATTTCTACTGTTTATACTATAGTTTTGATAGCAAAATATATTTGTATCCTCAGGAAGCAAGTATGTATGTATGCTGCAACAGACCACAGAAAAATTGCTTTTCCTAAATGTATTGATTTTCTGCACTGTCAGAGGGCAGTGAAAGTGGACTGAGACCATTGTTTTCCTTTACTTGCAGGGAGATATCAGAAAATTGATCTCTTCAAGGCTACTAGAGGCAGAAAGAATGATTACATTGACAACTCAGCCTCTTAAAGCTTCAATTTAAGTGGTTGAGTGTTTTCTGTTTCAGTAACCTTCTTTGAATTTGGCTGGGAAAACAATATCCACAGCAGCTGACATTATTTAACCTCCACTTTTTTTTCTAGTGGCCTAGACATGTTTTGTTGATGCAGCCACTTCGCTCAGGCACATTACAAGCCACAAATGCAAAAAACAAACAAAAAGAGGAATTAATGTAAACCAGGCTGAATTGAATGGAATTGCTTTAATTTCATGTTCATGGTATTTCACACGATGAGATGCTATTATATTAGCATGGACCTTTTGGTATGTTAAAAATGACATCTGAACAAATGCACTGTAGAAAAAGCCCCAAATGCACCTCCTCCACATTTGGAGATTTAATAAAAAAAACAATACATATAGTTGTTATTATAAATAACCCATACATAAATTCAACAAAACAGTTTCACAAACTAAATATTTCACTACTTCTGTGTTGCACATAAAGAAAACAATTGATGCTTCTAAATCCAAGAATTAAGAGTAGATGTATTAGACTGCACAAGTAATTGTAATTGTGCAAAAATGTTAAGTAATCCAAACTAATGATAAACAATTTGATTGCAATGACTGGTTTATGGCTTATGATTTTACTTGCATGTCCTGAGAGGCTGTGACATTACGCTATTACATTATATTATTACAGAATACTCTCAGGATGCAGGTTCTGTTATTCTGTAAAGTGAAACAAGTCAAAAGAGGATCAAAAACACACCTCAGCTCACAGGAATATTAACCAACGTTTCTTTAAGACTTTGAAAATAAAATGGTTTGTCAATTTAAATACCCACATTAAAAAAATGTAACATCTTGATAGATCCTTTCCCATTGGATTGATATCCATCCATCTTCTTTACACCCTTGTTCCTTAGTGGGGTCGGGAGGGTTGCTGGTGCCTATCTCCAGCTAATGTTCCGGGCGAGAGGCAGGGTACACCTTGGACAGGTTGCCAGTCTGTTGCAGGGCAACACAGAGACTCACAGGACACACACACTCACACCTAGGGGCAATTTGGAGAGGCCAATTAGCCTGAAAGTAATATTTTTGGACTGTGGGAGGAAGCTGGAGTACCCAGAGAAAACCCACGCATGCAAAGGGGGAACATGCAAACTCCATGCAGAAAGACCGGGGCTGGGAATTGAACCCAGAACCTTCTTGCTGTAAGGCAGCAGCTCTACCAATTACACCACTGTGCAGCCCCTGGATTGATATCAACATTCAAATATGGATGTTGATATCATACATATTTGTATGTTACAAACATACATCATGCCAACATATTTTTGACACAAATGGAACCCCATACTCCTCCTGTGACAGCCCCCCTGCTGTTGCAGATGGCCTGGTAGAACTTTGGGGTTCTTGGTGTTCCCAAATGATACAGTAGGGACTCCCGGTACACCTGCCACTAAGAGGCTCTCCTGATCGGCGACTCCTGGGCTTACGCCAACCGGTACACCCGAGTTGTCACCAACATCCTTCTTTACTTTTATTTTTGTAATAAATGCCTTTGACAGGGCTTAAAACAATTGTTGGTGTTGTGTCTCCCCAGTTGTTATGATCTTTGAATCAGGATGTAACACCTACATTCACTCTAAATGAATGTCCACCACATGTCTTGTTTAGCTGCTCCACTGTTCTTGATATCACAGATGACTGTTTATGACTGTGCTTATGATTTACCCACAGACCAGCTCATTTACATATCAGTCATTTCAGGTTCTGGGTACCTTGAAGCCTCCATCCTCCAGACAACCACATGTGTCATTGCCAAACACCCCAATGTCACCAAAAAGAGGAACCACCTTAGAGATTGCCACAGACTAGAAACATAGAATAAAACATGCACTACAATTAGTTTACATTCTCTGTGCAGAGGACTTCATTGTTTTTTAAGAATAGTTTTTTATAAATAAATTATAAATTGCTGAGTATACAATAATATGTTTTTCATAATTAATTTTTAAAATATTTTTAACACCCACCTGGTTTCCTGCTGTGCCAAGAAGCTACTTTTTGTTGTGCTTGGTGTTGTAGCTGCAGGGAACAACATATTGCATCAAAAATAAATTTACAATATTTGGTTAATAAACAAATTTCACAATATTATACCAGATATAAAACAGTTATGCTTGTTTCTTCAGCAGAAAATTCAGGATTTTATGGTGTTGGGACAGAATTTGGGTGGTTTTAATCAAACATTTGGTAAAAAAAAAAAAAAAAAAAAAGCCCCAGTTTGTTGGGGTAGAGAAAAGACCAAAAGAAGCACATATTTTACAGATAACCATTTTGAACTATGCAACAATCTGATCAAGCTTTGCCAAAATCTAAATCAAGCTAAAGTTTTTTCCAGCAGTTTACTTTGATCACTGAATCACTCAGAAGTCAACACATATGTTGAATATGAATTGTAATTCTGCTATTGTTAGTGATAGTCATTATAAAGTTGTCGTGGGCTGCAGTATTGCTCAGCTGTCTTTACTGTTGCTATGCCGTTCCTCAACATTTGGATGTAGACATCCAACCTAGCAACAGTAACAAAGGGTGTTAAACCAAATAGCAATCAAATCTTTGGTAACCTATACAAAACATTAGTCACTTTCTTGGGGGCTTAAAACGTTATAAAGTTAATTTTGATGTTTTAAACCAACCAAGGGCTGAGAGAATCCACATTAGGAATGGGATTGGACCAGAAGATACCAAAAATTTGATTGTCCCAGAATTTTTAAGAGTGGACCTTTCAAGAGTTTAATTTAAAGGTCATTGAGAGATTTTTATTGCGCTATATTTACAACGACATTTACTCAAGCCAAACTAGTAAAACCTTGTTTTTTGGGGGTTGTAAAATTAACAAGTAGTGTAATTAAATGACAAACACAGTCACATGTTTTGAATGAAATTACATTCTTAATGTTGTTTCGTCAAAACTTAAAAATATATTGAAAAACAATTACTAGAGTTTTATCATCAAGCACATATCCCCCACACAGATTTTAAAACAATACAAGACATCTTAAGATAAACACATTAACCTAAAAATGATTAAAATTGGATTTTCTGTTGAGCTATTGTTATTAGAGTATATGACAGCTGGCAACACCAACAGATCTTCTATGATTCCCCCCTGAGAAAAGATTTGAATTCAAGACTTTCTCTCAAAAAAATCCTAGATATTAGATTTTACAGGTTAACATCAACGTGGAGTCAAAGCAAAATCAATCAAAATTCAGTAGCGTGACTCCCCATCCTGTATGTTATAATGGAAAGTCTGTGTTGATTCAAATACCTGTTTGAGTGATGACAAGCCTGACACCTTTGAAGACGTTTCTTCCATATCTGGATATTACACACCAGTACTTATCTTCATCACTTTCCACGAGTGAAGTCATAGTTACGGTGAAGACTCCTGCTGCCCTATCATCGGCGATAAAGTACCTGTCATGTTGTGTTCTGCTGGTTGTTTTCACCAGCACTCTACACAGTTCATAAACTGATCCTTTGCACCAGTATTTGGGTCTTTCCTTGAACTGAAGGTCGTACTGACATGCGACTTTCACCAATCCACCGGGTGATGTCGTTACTTCTTCTGGCGCCAACAGATCAACTGAGTCCACTTTATCCTTCATTAGCAACAAGAGACATAGAAAAGGAACTGCGAAAGACAAAGTCGGTAACATTAAATGCTCAGACATTTTCATATTTCTTGTTATTAATCTGTTCCAGTGCTGAAATAATTACCGCAAATTTTGCTGGCAGAACAAGCTGAAGTTCTCATGGTGTGGCTACAGGGAACAATGTGAAGTGCGACAGCAAATTGGGCAACTCCAGGCTTCCTCTTATCCCTACTGATTATGCAACAAAGTTCTTCACAGGCTGGTTGACAAAGTTTATCTGTGTAAGTCTACTTTTGTTGATGAATTTGTTTATGTTGAGCTATGCATAGTCACGTTATCGTACTTTATTCATGTTATATTAGTGCTTAATGTCGGTGATAAGCCTCTCTGGTTGCTTTTCATTATTTACCTGGTCTTCAGATCTTTGTGCTGGGATTTCCCAAAGGACTGATGACGTGATGAATCATATGTTATGATCAAAAACTTCCCTTATAAACAGGAATTTTTACTTTGTTCTAATGCTTCTGTGAGATTAATTAAGTTTCAGCCTACATTTTCCATACGGCTTTCTTGTTTAAAGTACAGTACTTTTTTTTTTAGGTTCTATTGGCTTTTAATGAACATTAATTTGACAGGAAAGAGTTTGGAGACAGAAAAGGGAAGACATGCAAATGACCCTGGACTGAACTCCAGATGCCTCAGTCGCTCCTGCTCCACCAGCTGAGCTTCCCCAGCTTTCCTTACCAATTTGCCAAACCACATCATGTAAAGTTTGATGTAATAGACAGTGTTCTCTCCAGTTGATCAACACTCTATGTATTTTCCATATATAGCATTTTTTTTTGTGTGTGTGTGTGAACAATTTCTTTATCATTTATCTCAGTTCTGCACAGCTATTCAGAAATGGAGAAAGAATTGGAACAATAAGGAACCTTTCCAGGAGTCACCGGACCACCAAAATTACCACGAGGCCCTAGAGAGACAAACAAATTGACACAGTTTTGCTTGTAATGCAACCTTTCAAGAACTGAGTCTTGCGGAAAACCTAAGTTTATTCTTTGAAACTCTAATTACATAATCACATTTACATGATTTTATTTAAACCATCTAGTTTATTTTCAAAATCACTAAACCCAGAGAAACCACTACTAATTGACCCTGGTAATTATAGTAGATTGTCAGACATGCTTTTGCATCACTTTTGGAGTCTATGATAATTATTTTATATGAAATACTCAAATATGTTTAACTGATGACTAATGTACTGAGTGTGTAATCTATGACAAAACAGTCATAAGAGTATTCTCCATAGTGCAAATCAGGAAGTATATAATGCAATTTTGAACCAAGTAGATTTTCCTCCTACTTTTCATAAATTAATTTCTGGATATTTGTTTTATTTCATTACATATTTGCAGTAGCCCATCAAAAACAGACCAATATAACCTGTGGAACTTAACAACATAATCGCTTCTGCTTTCTGACTTTCTCTGACCTCCAGAAAATTATCATGTCAGCTTTTAAAGACGAAAGAAGAAATGCAGTAAAGGAAGCCTTCATTTGGTAAGTTCTCCATTTTTTATGTGAAATCTTTAAAGCTGATTGCAAATCCCTGCTTATGACGCATCACCTTCCTTCTTTCTGCATAACTACAGATGTCAAACATGTTTATCTTCAAATGTTTGGTGTCTAAATGGGTTCTCAGACTCAGTTTGTCTCCAGATTGTGATTTGACTGCTAATGTTTTCTGTCACTGCACACAAATCCAAGCAACACAGTCAAATCTTAAGCCTGGAACTGCTGGTATGTGTTGCTGTTTTAAAGGATGAAAATCTAATTTTATATACTTTTCTAAATACATGTGTTAAAGATTCATCTTGTTCTAAAGTGGACGCTTATATTTTTCTAGCTGTTCCTCTGGTTGAAGACATAGATCAATTGTTATCTGTAGAAAGGTTAGATGAGGCCTGGATGACTTTTTTTTTTATCCTGGAGAACATCTGAGTTTTTCTCTTTGCACGTTGGATAAATTGAAAGACAGAGGCTGCATTTGCAAACAGTTATTCCTCAAAGCAAAGAAAACAAACATTTGACTTGTTAAACTTTATTACAATAACTTTGTATGTATTACTCTTACAAAAAAATGTGGCGAGATATGCAAAACATCAAAGTATACAAATGTTTTTAATGGATAGCTTAGGATTTTGGAAGTGAGGTTGTGTTAAAAGGTAATAAGCAGTTTATGTCTCATAATGTAAGCCACTATTGGGTCTTCATTTAGCAACATAGGTTAGTTGATTTGGCAACTAATCAACTAATCCAATACGGTTTGCTTAAATCACTGTACATTTTTTTTGAGATTATAGTGGTTTTAAAATGGTTAAAGTCCAGTTGAGTCTTGATCCCTTTCAAACTAACCCTATGCTTTAATTTTACAAAAATAGAGACGACGTGAGATTAACACGACCCTGGCGAGATATTAACTGTTTATAATCCTTCACCACATGTCCACTTTCAAAATCTTGGCCTGTCCTTTCTCATTTCCAACAATCTAGCCATAGAAAGCAGGAAACCTTTGTGACTAGTACAATTTACAGAATAAAAGATTTTAAAGATCTAAACTATGAAATTGTCACAGTGTCGTCATTCTCTTTCTGTTCTGTTTTGGCTGATCCATTCTGGTCTGCTGCTGGTTCTTCTACCATCGCTGACTTCTTTGATGTTCCTGCTCCGATTTTAGAAGAACAAAAGAGAGTTTTGAGAGAGTGTTTAAAAAAAACAAAAAACTTTAAGACACCTAAATCTACAGACTTAAAATAAATGTTTAATGATTCTGGTTGATGTCGTACCTGTGAGGTAATTTCTGTGCATTCGATGGAAAAGCAGGAGACCAAAGAAGAGTATAAACCCAATACAGGCGATTATCATTCCACACAACAGGAAGCTGTAGCTTCCTTCAGTCTGAATGATCTGTGGAGAAAATATCAAAATGAAACTACCAAACATAAATCTAAATCAACACCTGCCGTATGTTTGCAATTAAGGACATAATTCTCCTCATTTACAGATTTTTTTTTAAACAACAGAGGCACTTACTGAGCCAACCAGGACCTGCATTACCATCTCTCCCATCCCTGCACTTGTCACCAGGACAGAGGTTGCACATCCTGCAAAAACAAATTCATACTCTCTCATTTCATTCCACCAGTGCACCATTATTTTGAAGTAAAAGGAAAAAAAAAGAAGAAAAAGTTATACCCTGGTAATCAAGGATATCCTCAGTGTAGGCAAGCATACAGGGGAAAATGCTACTCAAAAAAAGTCCACATAAACAGGTTCCAACAAACAGGAAGATGCTGCTGGTGTAGAAAATGAGCAGCATCAACACAGTAACAATAGCTCCTGCCTGCAAAAATACAGAGAGTGGTTTAAGAGCACGGAGTTTCAGTGAAAAGGAGAAATATCTCGCTACGGCCACACATTTCTGTGAGAATCCAACACAAAGTGAATCATTAAGAAGTGGAAGGAACCGGATGCATGTTGTTATTTTAACAAACATCTGAAACTGTGGCTTGAATAGGTCTTTAGCAGCTATTAAATATTCCTAAATAAAGTCAACTGACTTCAGAGATCACCTAATTAGTAGATGCTATGTGCAGTGGAACGTCCTGCAGACACCATGTCCAACATGAATCACAGTGGTAGCTGCATAATGAGGTAAAGATGGATGGAGCTAAATATGGGTCAATCCTTTAAGGAAAACCTGTTGGAGGTTGCAAATGACTTGAAACTGGGACAGAAATCACCTTCCAGCAGCTCTAAACACACAGCCAGAGCTCCACTTGAACGTTTTCCATCAAAGTATATTGTCAGTAAAATTTCCTAAACTAGATTAGAGTTGAAAGGTTCATTTCAGAAACTCAGTTCACTACATTAGATGGAGCTAGTTTTGATCAAGCTTCTTTTTTCTGGTAATTATGATGATTTTCTCCTTACTGCTAATGAAGGTATGACATTTTGGATCAGTATGTTATATCAGACCAATTTAAAAGACTTTTTTTTTAAAGCGGTAATGCAGGCTTAATAAAAAGTGTGATTAATATCTGTATTAGGCTTATTTTCAAAAAGCACTTTTGATCTGTCGAAAGAGAACAATTCAAATGTGTTTTCCAGTTTATAGAATATGACTGTGTGCTATGTTAATTTAGACCTAATTCTTATTGAAATTCTGTAACTGGCTTTGAAAACAGAAGTTTTGTAGGTGCTCCTCCCTCAGTCTCAGAGGAGACTGGCAGGAGCTATGAATGGTATGAGCTCAACAACAATAACTCTACATGGGCTCAAAAAACTCAAAGCTCCAATTGCAGTAATAAGCGTTTTAGTTACTCAGCAGGATGGAATGAAAATGCACACCATGCATCCCAGAAAAAAAACAAAAAAAAAACAAAATGTATATCCTTTTCCTTCCTCTTCAGTTAATCACCAGTTATTCTATTACATAAAATCCCACAAATCTAAAGAAGTACGGTCAAGGAACTGTACGGTATACTAAGATAATGTGTCTCGAACTTCTTGGTTGGCCTTACCAGGTTGAACATGAGTAGCCGTGCAGGTTGGAAACGATATGAGAGAGGAATAGACAAGAGGCGTCCAGCTGTGATCGCTGCCCAGAAAATACTAGCCAGGTAACCTGCCGTCTTGTTCGCCAACGACATCGGTGGGGCCACAGCGTAGGTGTACACAAAGCCAGCATACGCTCCCTGAGAAGAAAGAAACATCTTGTTTCATGCACCCTATTTTCTATGCTTTATGGGATGCATATCTTGTATAGACTAATAAAAGTTTATTTGGGAAATAATGCATGTGAAATGAATACCGTGTGATTTATTTGCACCTCTCACTCACCACAATGCCATCGGTCATAAAGAGCACCATCCCTCCAAGGATATGAATCATAAAGAAGGATACTGGCAGTCCACGCAGGTTATCATTCTGACAGCAGCTGAAGATACTCCCATGACCTGTGGCAGAGCAAAAAAAAAAAAAAAGAGTCAGAAATGATGTATCGGTGTGCACAAAATGGCATTCATTGTTTTGTTTTCATATTTCCTGACAACGTATTTGTTATTCATGAAGGAATGTAAGATGAATTAAAATGAAAGGGAAGAAAATACTTCTTTCACATGCATACCTCCAGCTTCATGTTCCTTCTGCTCCAAGTCTGGGCCCTCGGCCCCCTGCTGGGTCTCCATTGCTAGTTCATCCTTGTCTAGGA